TCCACGCCTAGCTAACACCTCCAGTTAGGGACTGTTCTGATTTCCTCCAAATTCAAATTCCATTTTCTCTCCTTTTCTCCCTTGCTCTCTCTTCAGGAAGCGCTGCTTAAGGTTCCAGCATCTCAGCAGGGACGCGAGGCACAAGGAAATGCCTCAGCTAGGAGCCAAAATCCTCAAAACAAACTGATGTGGCGTTTGGCTGCCTCGCCGGGAGACGAGAGAGAGAGATCGCTTCCCTCGCTGCACCGGCGAGGTCTTGGCAACTCCCAGAGGATTGCTGAGTGCAAATGGAATTCAAGTGGCGAGAAACGAAATAAGCAGGCCGGCTTTCGGAGTGTGGGTAGCAGCCATTCGCAGGCCCTCCTCGCACTCCTGACCTGCTGCTAAACTCCTTATTAAAGCAGAGGCGCAAATCGGAGCCCGTAGTTTCTCTTTCCTGTGGCTTTCTCCTTTCCCTCTTCCTTAGCCTCTACCGCTGTCGGAGGCATCACCAATGCTTTCCTCTTCTCTTCACAATGAATATGATCCGGCTTATCAGGAGGCGATAGGCGAGAAAAGGCCTTTGCTTTCACTCTGTACTTGCAGAGCAGTGTGAGGTCACCCACTCCTTCCCTCCTCGTGCAGAATTAACTCTGGTTTCGCTGTCCTTTGCCCAGCCCAGACCACAAACCAGCCCCAAAGCCCCAGCAAACATTCCTGTGGCAAGGAGTCTAATCACCCTCAAGCACCTTAATGGCTCATTTCTTCCCGCTCTATGGTTCTCCGCAACCACTGGAGAAGGGCTTTGCTTTCCTTCCTCTCCCTAGCTTCTCCTCTAAGACACTGCTGGTTACAGGGATTATGAATGACACCAGAGCCCTCTGTAATTCCTCAGTCACTCACAAAATAACGGCAATAACAAGCCAAACTCTATGGCTCCGTTGTCGGCGCATGAGACTTTTAATCTTGTGGGTTTGAACCCCATGATGGACAAAAAGTTTCATGCATTGAAGGAAGTTGAACTAGATGGGGGCATCTCCCATCTCTACAATTCTATGATTCTTGCAAACAGAAAGGCCACGTCCTTTGGCTTCTATATACACAGCATACTCTAAAACAGACTTGGGGAACCTGATAAATTAATAGGAAGAATTCGAAACCGACGGGACCAGAAATTCACAGAAGACTGGAGTAAATTTATGGTCTATTTTAAAAGTATTTGTGAAGACCAGATGACGTTTGTAGGTTTACAAGAAGTTCTGTGAGGAGTATTATTGGAAGTATTGCAAAAATAGATAAAGGAAAGGATAATTTGTTAAGAGACTTAAAGGCAATATAAAGTTAAGAAATGTATAAGAAGTGGATAAAACGGTGGAATATCAGAGGGGCTGATGGAAGTCTAAAAAGATTGTATATGTGATAAGTTTTGTGGTACATTTTATAATTTATATGTTAAAATAAATAAAAGTTATTATAAAAAAAAAGTTGGGGAACCTGTGGCCCTTCAGATGTGGATCCAGCCACCATGGCCTACAAATTGTAGCCTAGCAACAACTGGAAGGCCAAATAATGCTTCTCTAAAAGGCAACGATACTAAGTGACCCGCTTTGCAAAAAATAAAATAAAAATAGGCCTCTTGCTTCACCTTAATCCTTGGTTTTAATTTGCGAAAGCTGCCCCACAGACAGCAGTGAGCGCATGCTTTCAAAGTCCCACATGCCAATGCTCCAAGTGGCGCAGTGTACAGACAAACCTTTTTCTGGGGATGTATGCTAATGAGGAAGCATTATCCTCTCCCACACACCCTTCAAGGTGCCCTCTCTCTTTTCGCTTCGCAACAAACCTCTCTCCTACATCTGAGCGATGTTCGCAGCTTGGGGGAAAGTATCATTTTCACCCAGACTTCAATTGGCGTTTTCTTCCAGACCCAGCAAAACCAACCAAGTTCTGAGCAGGCTACCATCTGTGGAAAGAGTGAGTCATCTGCAGCTAATGATCCCTGGGCAAAATTGACTCTCGAAGAGACGCAGCAGGGCCAGCTCCTGTGCTGTTGGGGGAGGTGGGTGCTAGATAAGACACAGCCAAAGAGCTCTCTTCCTGCAGAGAATTCATCCCTCTCACTGCCCTTGTTGCCAGGTGCTGGTGTTGCTCCTTGATCTCAGTAATGCTTCCCCCTTCTTGCCTGCCAAGCAAAGCTCATGTCTGCTTGCTCATCCCCTCTGGGCCAAAGCAAGAGGCAGGTGGACGCACAAAGTGGCCTTCTATTGAGACACACAACTGATATTGCCTGATGCTAAATGGCAGCGGCTGTCCAGGGTTTCTAATAACAAACCAACAAATCACAGAATCATAGAGTTGGAAGGGACATTGAGGGCCATCTAGTCCAACCACCTGCAATGCAGGAATCTCAGCTAAAGCATCCACGACAGATGGCCATGCAACCTATGCTAGAGAGTGCACCATCTCTGGTGGGAGTTTGTTCTACTGATGAACAGCTCTTACTCTCAGAAAGTTTTCCCAAATGTTTAGTTGGAATCTCCTATCTTGTAACTTGAGGCCATTGCCTCGAGTCCTACCCTCAAGAGCTGGAGAAAACAAGTATGCTCCATCATCCATGTGACAGCCCTTCAGATGCTTGAAGATGGCTATCATATCTCCTCTCAGACTCCTCTTTCCCAGGCTAAACATACTCAGTTCCTTCAAGCGTTCCTCATAAGGCTTAGTTTCCAGACCCTTGACCATCTTGGTTGCCCTCCTCTACACATGTTCAACATCCTTCTTAAACTGTGGTGCCCAGAATTGGCCACAGAATTCCAGATGTGGAATAATAAATACAAACACTTTATTACTTCTATGCTGCCCATCTGATTGGGTTGCCCCAGCCACTCTGAGCACTTTCCAGCAAATTACAAAACCACAGCAAAACATCACACATTGAAAATTTCCCTAAACAGGGCTGCCTTCAGAAAGTTGTGTAGTTATTGATCTCCTTGATATCTGGTAGGAGGGTGTTCCACAGGGTGGGAGCCACTACTGAGAAGACCCTCTGCCTGGTTCCCTGTAACCTCACTTTTCACAGTGAAGGCCCTCAGTGCTGGATTTCAGTATCCAGGCTGAACCATGGGGGGTGGAAACGCTCCTTCAGGCCGAGGCCATTTAGGGCTTTAAAGGTCAGCAGCAACACTTTGAATTGTGCTTGGAAACGTACTGTGAGCCAATGAAGATCCTTTAGGACTGGTGTTATATGGTCCTGGCGGCCGCTCCCAGACAACAGTCTAGTTGCCGTATTCTGGATTAGTTGGAATTTCTGGGTCACCTTCAAAGGTAGCCCCACGCAGAGTGCATTGCAGTAGTCCAAATGGGAGATAACCAGAACATGCACCACTCTGGTGAAGTGATGTTCACAGCTCTAACTGAAGGGGCTGGTTGCTGAACATGCAGCCTTCTACATGAAAAACAGATGCTCTGCCACCAAACTTTGCCCCGTTCCAAACAACCCATTTGCAATGTTGAAGAGGAGGACCAGGTTCAGGGGACTCACATCATGTGGGCCCTTTGCTGGGGTGTGGGTCAACAGAGGCCTGGTCAAAGTGACCTTGACTAGTTTTGGTCAACACCAACAATGCAGAAGTAAATAGGTGCCAGGGCAAACATATCACTGTTTTATCCCCAGCCTCCTGAATTTACAGTACTGTGAAAAACGCTTTTGGGATTCTGTCCCCTACCTGTAGACCAGCCCTTTCCAACATGGCTTCCTTCAGATGCTTTGAACTACAACTCCCATCATCCCAGACCACTGGCCATGCTGGCTGGGGCTGATGGGAATTGAAGTACACAATATCTGGAGGAGACTACCTTGGGGAAAGGCTGCTGGCTTACATTCAGGATTTCATTCTCTGCCCGTAAACTCTATCATTTGGGTGTGGGAATCATAAACCAAACTGCTGATTAGCTGAGGGCTTCAGTCTCTTTGGTCCCTTCGAATAAATGAGGCTGTGCTGCAGATAACGCATGGGGTTGGAGTTCATATTGCAATATTTATCCCTTTAGACACAAAGCTGCCGAATCCAAATGAGGTTTCTGTTTTAGAAGTCCCTATGGTTTAAAAAACGGGACCGGCAAGGGGTGGAATCTTCTTCCCACATTCCTTTATTCCCTTGATATATATATATATATTTTAAAAAAGGATTAGTGCTTAATTAGATGTGAATCCCTTAACACAAGCATGCAAACAGGGCCAGCGCAGGGCTACTATTTATATAAGAATCCATCTTCTTACAACATGGCGTGGTGAGGTAATTAAAGCATCTCAAATAAAATAAGAATAAGATGCTTTTTGAACTGTGTTTCTGTTAACTCAATTTGAGCCTGCAGCGTCAGCAAGCAGAATTGTCTCTTCCACTACTCAACATTACACAGAGGGTGGGGTGGGGGGGAGAAAAATTTCCAGCCCGGGTAGTATGGTTTTCTTTAATAATGCAAATTAGAGGAAATAATGAGAACATTTGCATGCTTTGTCAACAAAAGAGGGGCATTTCAAAGTCTCCAAAATAGTCTCAGCAGCAAGAAGCTCTTCTTGTTCTAGTGTCAAACTGCTTTGCTTTTCTTCTTTTCCTGCTGACCCAAAGGTTTCATGCTGAAAATGCTAATCACATCCTCATTTACCACAGCTTGGTCTCCCTCTCTCTCTCTCTCTCATTGTCCGCATCTGTCTACAGTTCGGCCAAATGGGAGTCACCACCACATTCAACACAGATACAAATGCTTCCCTCTCTCTCTCTCTCTCTCTCTCTCTCTCTCTCTCTCTCTCCCGCTCACATAATTGCACACCATGAGGTTCAGGAGTTTAGAAGTCAGGTCTTGGACGGAAATTGAAATGAGAGAACTAGGGGTCTGCAGCCAAAGGTTTGGAGCTGGTTCCTTCAAATCAATAGCTGAACTTCAAGCCAAGGCAATTCTGCTTTCTCCCTCTGCCAGTTCTCTCCCTGCCCTCCTGCTCCATTTGGTTCCCCCAACCCTGCAGGGCTGTAGCTCAGTGGTATAGCATCTGTCTTGGATGTTGAAGGTCCCAAGTTCAAATCCTGGCACCTCCAGACAGGGAGGGAAGAGGCCCCTGCCAAAAATCCAGAAGGGCCACTGCTATCAGACAATGAAGAACCATGTGGACCAATGATCTAGCTTAGTATAAAACAACTTGCTATGTCACACACACACCCCTACTCTCTTTCCATTGTGGAATTTATTTTCCACTGTAAGCTGAAGATGCACCTCTTAAAACAGGCTTCCTCAACCTTGGCCCTCCAGATGTTTTGAGGCTACAATTCCCATCATCCCTGACCACTGGTCCTGCTAGCTAGGGATCATGGGAGTTGTAGGCCAAAAACATCTGGAGGGCCGAGGTTGAAGAAGCCTGTCTTAATATAATCACAGAATCATAGGATTCTGAAGGCAGCCCTGTTTAGGGAAGTTTTTAATATTTAATGCTGTATTGTTTTTAACACTCAATTGGGAGCTGCCCAGAGTGGCTGGGGAAACTCAGCCAGATGAGCGGGGTATAAATAAATTATTATTATTATTATTATTATTATTATTATTATTATTATTTTGGAAGGGACCTCAAGGGTCATTTTTGCAATGCAAGCTTCCTGCCCACAGTTGTGCCTGGGTGGGCTCGAACCACCAATCTTCTAGGTAACAGCCAGATGCACTGACCCATTGCGTGACATGACAGTCTTGTTAGGGATCCACTAAATAGCAGCAGCCACTGCACGTCTTAGTCTCTCATCTCCTCCGATTCGCTGCTCCACCTACCTGCCCCTGCATGACATCATTATCCAGGGGAAATCAGCCAGTCAGAGGCTTTGCCATCATTACCCACCAGCATCGCATCATCCCTTCTTTCACCCAGGAGTTTCTCACTACAAACTAGAACACCCTAAGAGGGAATAACCAAAGCAAACCACCAGGAACCTTGCTAAGGAGTCTTGTCCATCTCCTAAGGCAGAGTTCATGGGGTTGTCCCATTTTATCTGCACAACCAGCCTTGGATGGTAGAGTTGGAGAGCTGGCCAAGATCATTTGGTGAGCTTTGCACCTGATTGAGGAGTCTCTCAAGCTCTCTCAAGCTCAATAACCTATGCACTGCACCTCTCTAGATCTGCCGTCCTTTGCTATTTTTTTCTGCCTGGTTCCTCCTCCTGCATGGGCACTTGAGGGGCGCAAGATACTGTTGATGCTTTTCCCTCCTGACTTAATGGTATCTCTGATGGAACATTACGCATTTTGCAAGGCAGAGGCAGTGAATGCAGCTCCTATAAGGCTCTTTTGAGCCTTAGTTTTGAAGGACACTAAACTCAAGATAAACACCAGATTCAGCACTTAACATCAGCATTTGCTTTTCTCTGAAAGACTCCTCCTAAGAGCATCCCTGTCTGACTCAAAAGCTTGGTTCTGGCATTAGCTGGTTTAGTATCACTCATTTGCAAAGAGTCTAATGAAATGGTAAATGGTCCAAATGTGGGAGAAATCACAGTATAGGAAGTTGTCTTGAGTGCACAGGCATCTTTTCAACCACGTATAGTTCTAGAAATCTGGGTATCGACACCTAATCATTCCTCTCTGTTAATACAAGAGCCAAATGCTTTCTTAGAGTAAATTCATAAGCAGTGTTCAATATGAGCCAGTCCCTCTTTTACACCTGGCTTTCGACCACTTGCAACCAACTTGCATGGCGTCTGACATCTCCACCATCTGGTGGTGCATGCCTGGGGATCCTTGGATATTGACTGTTTTCACTCACAAACACCGCATCCTGCAGAATTCTACCAGTTATATTTCATCTGCACAATCGGAATGAATTTCTGGAACCTTTTTCCATGCAGCCTGAGCAGGAACAGTCGCCATTAAGAAAAAGAGGTCGGAATAGGCCATTATAGATGTGGACTGTCCCTGGATCAAGGGACTTTTCTTCTTTAAGTTCTCAACCTAGCTCAAGGTTATGACCTGAACTAGCCAGATGTTTAACTGGGAATCAATCACAATCAGTCCATCATTTTAAAAACAAACTTGAGAGCCATCTTACCCCAAAAATGGCAACTGCAACCTTGGTTTAAGGAGCCATTGAGTGCCCAGCTTATATATCTGAGTTTCTAACACTGTTCATAAGCATGTAAAAGTCATTGTCATGTTTCCAGCTACAAGCAGTCAGATTCGAGAAGTGAACCCAAGACACACTTCTATGAGTTGTATAATGGAAGAAAGGTGGGATATGATTTTTTTCTTCTTAGCTTCTTAGCCTCTCTTTGGCCAGCTGCATATATATATGGCATAGGAGTTACTGCAAAGAGATAGCAAGGATTGTTGCTTGGGAGTCCTATTGCGCTATAATTTACTTACAATAGGTGGCTTCTGTCTTAGCTACAGATTTGTGGTTTGTATCACTAAGAGTGGGAAATGAATAACTGGAAAGTCCCAGGATAAGCATAATGATAACAATCAGTTCTGAAGATAGGGTATCTTCTTCTTCTTCTTCTTCTTCTTCTTCTTCTTCTTCTTCTGGGGGGGGGGGGTTATTTCTAAAGCAAGCCCTGAGGTGTTTTGCCAGAGAGACCAAAAACAGCTCTGTTGCCTATTTTCCCCTAACCTACACAAAGAAAAGAAGAAAACTTTGATGATGTATAATAAAGCCTTCAGAGCAACCCTAAAATGCATTTTGCAGAAAAGGTCACTTGCTTTTATATGGTATCTATTTGAATATATTTCTGCTATTGTGATAGACAAACTCCCACTATAAAGAAAAGCAGCATTTGGAGGAAGCACTTATCATGATTAAATTTACATTCTCTGAGAATGTCAAAAGAGTGCTCTCGTGTCGACAATTGTGTGATCAGCGTTCACATTTCTAAATATCGGAAATGACTTTTTAGAAAGGTTTTTTTTTATAATAATAAAAAAACCTGTTGCTGAGTTGGGGGACTCTCACAAATGCACAGTCTGCAAAGAGGGAGTTATTCATAGCAGTTGAGTGAAAGGCTTTTGAGAATGCAAGAGGAAGGGGGCAGAGACAAGCTATATAACCAGACAGGACCATATTTAGGGGATTTTGATAAGCCTAAACAATTCATTTGCATTACAGGAGGAGTTCTTTACAGCTTGTATGGCTACTTCGTACTTTTTGTACAAAATAATATCAGCCCTCAGATGTTTTGAGTACCCCAGCTGCCCCAAAGGGGCAGGAAAATAAAAACTATAATTTGCCCCCAAAGCAAGTGAGAGAATGAAAAGCCAGTTTCCTGGCTTGGTCACTTAAGAGATTTCAGGTAATGTTCAACTAATTTTTCCACCTCCGCCGTGTTAAGCAGTTGGTCCCTTACCTTTCTTGCCCTGATCTAGCCAATGCGATCCATGCGATGGTCACCTCCAGGCTTGATTATTGTAATTTGCTCTACGCGGGGTTGCCTATGAAGCTGACCCAGAAACTCCAGCGGGTGCTGAGTACCAAAGCGAGACTAACGGAGTCTTCGCCCTGGGACCATATCCACGCAGTGCTATACCAGCTGCACAGGCTCCCGGTGGAGTACAGGGTCAGGTTTAAGGTGCTGGTTCTAACTTTTAAAGCCCTATACGACCTGGAACCCTCGTACCTACGGGACCACCTCTCCTGGTATACCCCGTGGGTCCGCTAACAATAATATCTTGGAGGTTCCGGGCCTCAAGGAGGTTAGACCGGCCTCGACCAGAGCCAGGGCCTTTTCGTCCCTGGCCCGGTCTGGTGGAATGCCCTGCCGCAAGAGACCAGGGCTCTGTGGGACTTGCCATCTTTCCTGAGGGCCTGCAAGACGGAGCTGTTTCGCCAGGCCTTTGTTCAGGGCCCAGTCTGACCTCTCTCCTTCTACAAGACCCTATATATAAGAGGCCTCTCTAACTCCTCTCACCGGCTCATATAATGACCAACCCCTACAGTCATAATTTGATGGTTGCCTTCTGATCTCATTTGATTTTAATCCAATTTTAAGCCGTATTTCAGTCGATTGCTAAATTTTATGTTTTAATGTATTTATATTTTGATGTTAGCTGCTCTGAGCCCAGTTATGGCTGGGGAGAGTGGGATATAAATAAATAAATATTATTATTATTATTATTATTATTATTATTATTATTATGCGTCCCATCAATGTGATGATTCCCACTTGTGCAGTGGGACTCCTCTCTCCCTCCCTGAGTGCATCCTGCTCTCTCCAAAAATCTGCTTCAGAAGGTTGTGGGGGAAACTGATTTAGAGGGTGTATAGGCAGGGCAGAGAGGGGGACACATTCTCTTGCATAAGCAGATATCCTTGTCCTAACTGAATGTTGATGCAGCGTTGAGTTGGATGCAAGCTTTCCACCCACCGCAGGTGACCAGGTGAGTTGCTGCTCAAAGCCTATGGGTAAAACATATATTATTTAAAATATCTCATGTCCAAATCACGGGGTCAGCGACAGGGCACACAGCCCATGAGATGGAACTTGGATCACTCAGTGCATTCTGCAGAAAATGTTGCTTCCACGCCACACGTGAACACTTGCAGGAAATAGGAGCTTCGCCCCTGTCCACCAGCAAAAGTCTTAATAGATCTTACCCCAGTGTGCTTGCCAAATACTTAATATACCGAGCTCACACGGCTAGCAACTCTGCAGTTAATGGCAATAATTCCAGTTATTCTGGAAGGTTACATAGCCATAAATTATGGCATAGGAATATACAGCTGTACATAAAGGCACATAGCCATGACAACTAACAGTGGCCTCCCTACACAGGGCTATTCTGTTGAATCCAGACTTCTAATGAGCAGAGTTCCAGTCACACTGGACTAAGGAGGTGGAGAGGCAGTTTTAGCTGATTCCTCCTTCCCCTTGCATCCCTCTGAAATGTTTTCCTGGAGGACTGGGGGTGTCCCCTCTGGAACAGCACAGGAAACTGCAAGGGGAAGGGAGAACTGGCAAAAATACATCTCCTCACTTTCTTCTAGGCTGCTGTAGAACCTGGTCCCTTGCATGAATGGAAGGCACTCTTTTACTTGCCGGGGAGCAAATCTGGATCTAAACTGACAAGTGCTAGACCCCAAGGAACAACACCAGGGGATTGTTTAATTTATCTAACTTTCAGCATTTATACACCACCTTTCCAGCTCTGCTCGCAAGCTTCCCACAGCACCAGACCGGCTACTCTCAGAAGTCTAAATGCTGTCAGGAGTAGCGGTCAGCCTGGTTGAGTGCAGGCAGGTCTGCTGGGATCATTTTAATTTTTGAAGGTTCGCTGAAATAGCTGCTCCTTGATGGCTACCCGATAACTTGGTTCAGCATGCCCTAGACCCAAAAAGCTGCACAGTCAGTAGAGAGTGGAAGAGATGTTAGCTCATACAATCCACAGCACAGATCAGGGATGGGGCCTCTGGGGTTCTCCAGCTGTTGGTGATCTACTTCTCTCAACCTACCTGATCACATTGACTGGGGATGCAGAGCCACAGACTCCTCACCTCTGATTTAACATACCTAGTATTGATTTAATTGCACGCATCTTCTTTATTACACTCCAGCCCCACCTGTTCTTTCCCATTTTGCGTGATAACCCATTGAGTCAATTAGCAAAACAGGAGATATCGCACTGTACTGTAGCTCCTTAGACTGAGATAACGGCTCCAAGCTACTCCCCCCCATTTGTTGCTGGAGGAATTGTGCTGAGCAGAGAGTGTTGGATTCGTGTCTACAACAGCGTGTCAATACCGCTGTATTATTAACTGTGAGATATCGTATCTATGAAGGGTTCGAGTAATTAACTTATCAGGAAATGCACAACACACTAATGGAGAAGGCGTTGCAAAAACACACACAAAAGTTTTGCTGAATGGTGGCTTCGATGAGGAAGCCACTGCAACCGACCTCCTTTCATCAAGGGAGCAACTAATTTTTCTTTTGTCACATCCAAGACTTTACAAACCAGATCGCTCTTTGCACTGGGAAGCAGATACCGTTCTGCAGGTTATCTGGTGTGCAGATATCCTGCTATTCAGCAAAGGCCACCTCGCCAGAGAAAGTCAGGGAGCAAGAAAGTAAACACTGTGTTCACAAACACATGGGCGCAGAGCCATGTCTAGCAGAAAGAAGTGGCTTTGGGTTATTCCTTCCTACTTGAAGTGTTAAATCCTAAGTATGGGAACAGGAGTTGGCTGCAGGCTCACCCACTCGCTTCCAGCACAAAGTCTCTCCTCAATTTGGCATCAATAATAAAACATAGTTAAGGCTAACATGGGACGCGGGTGACGCTGTGGGTTAAACCACGGAGCCTAGGACGTGCCGATCAGAAGGTCGGCGGTTCGAATCCCTGCAATGGGGTGAGCTCCCGTTGCTCGGTCCCTGCTCCTGCCAACTTAGCAGTTTGAAAGCATGTCAAAGTGCAAGTAGATAAATAGGTACCGCTCCAGCGGGAAGGTAAACGGCATTTCGGTGCGCTGCTCTGGTTCACCAGAATAGTCATGCTGCCCACATGACCCGGAAGCTGTACGCCAGCTCCCTCGGCCAATAAAGCGAGATGAGCGCTGCAACCCCAGAGTCGGCCACAACTGGATCTAATGGACAGGGGACCCTTTACCTTTACCTGTACTACAGAGAAATTGGGGGGGGGCATTTAAGAGTCAAAATGGCTTCAGAATTGCTCACCCATAACATTTCAGGATATGGTTTAGTGCCCTTCTGCATTTTGAACATTTATTTTATTGTTTTGCAAGTTTGGGAATTTTTCTTAATTTTCTTAAGGTACCACTGTATTCTAATTGCTACATCCCACCTTTCTAACCAAGGAGCTCAAGGTGATGTATATGGTTCTTCCCCTCCCCATTTTACCCTCCCAACAACAACCCTGTGAGGTAGGTTTGGCTACAAGACAGTGACCAGCCCCAGGTGACCAAGTGGGGCGGTTGTTTGTTTGTTTGCTTGTTTGTTTGCTTGTTTGTTTGCTGGGGGGTTTTGAACCTGGGTCTCCCAAGGCCCCCCTCCAACACTCTAACCTCCACACCACTGGCTCTCAGCTCTCAGTCTGCACAAGTCCATTGCCAACAGATATCCCAGATATAAAGTACTTGGAAAGATACTCAATGAGAAAAGATCCATGTTAAATGTGTAATGCACTGAATAAGCCCCCCTCCCAATTGAGCATACAGGCAAAGCACTGAATAAATGTGAAGAGCCACGTTTGCTAAAATTAAAAGATGAATTGCTAAACTCTTTCCAGTTCTGTTAGAAATCAGAAAACCCCTTGGTGCCCTTATTTTTTTGGCGTTTCATCTGTACCCGTTCTAAAGGAAACGCATGAAATATTTAACTGCCTCCCTGTGAACAATTGCTGCTTGGAGGGATAGGAGCTCTTGATGACCAGGGGTTAATTTTGTATTAATTAGAGGACAAAAGAATTCTGACTTCTCTCTCATTATGGCATCTTCAGGCAGTTGGGGTCTTGCTCATCAAAAAGTAGATGGGAGTTCTGAGCATGACATTTGCTGCGGCGGAAGAGAACTCAACAAGCCCCTTTTAGCAGCAATGGAGCCCAGCCAATGCCAATTTCACAGGGGGGAGAGAAAGAAAAGGGGGTGAATTGATCTGCTTTCTAGGTTTTTATTACAACCCATGGTGACAACATAAAGGGAAATGTTGCAGCTGAGCTTCCTCTTCAGAAGCGGTGAGAAAGACGGGCCAGAGTGGTGGATGAAAAGAATGCATAGATTTGCGATTGTAGAAATAAAAAGAGAAAGAAAGAAAGAAAGAAAGAAAGAGAGAGAGAGAGAGAGAGAGAAATTAGGCCTGACTATTTGGATTTAAAAAGCAGAGATATTACCTTGCCAACAAAGGTCCATATAGTTCAAGCTATGGTTTTCCCAGTAGTGATGTATGGAAGTGAGAGCTGGACCATAAAGAAGGCTGATCGCCAAAGAACTGATGCTTTTGAATTATGGTGCTGGAGGAGACTCTGAAGAGTCTCATGGACTGCAAGAAGATCAAACCTATCCATTCTGAAAGAAATCAGCCCTGAGTGCTCACTGGAAGGACAGATCCTGAAGCTGAGACTCCAATACTTTGGCCACCTCATGAGAAGAGAAGACTCCCTGGAAAAGACCCTGATGTTGGGAAAGATGGAGGGCACAAGGAGAAGGGGATGACAGAGGGCAAGATGGTTGGACAGTGCTCTCGAAGCTACCAGCATGAGTTTGACTAAACTGCGGGAGGCGGTGGAAGACAGGAGTGCCTGGCGTGCTCTGGTCCATGGGGTCACGAAGAGTCGGACACGACTAAACGACTAAACAACAACAATTTGGATTTGAACCAATTTTGCTCTGTTAGGATCATCACAAATTCGATCAGAATGGATAATAGGAAAGTTCACCACCCCATGTGGCAGTGTGTTAGTCTCAAGAGCATTAAGATATCAAAGGTAACAGATTCAGCTCCACCTTTTTAACTCCTCCCCTTGCAAAAAGGTATCACAAAGTGGCTGAGTGCCGTCCCCAGGAAGCAAGAAGCCAACCAGAGCCTAATTAGGTTCTGATGGTGCTCCTGTCGACAATGAGCGACCCACGTTTTCCTTCGGAGCCCGCCGGATCCTCTGCATACCGTTCTCCATCCTTTTGTGTTTTAAAAAACAAATCCTAGACTGTGTGCTGTATCGCAGCCCAAAGCAGCAATAAAAGCCTTTTAATGCATCTTGTGTTTGTATTAAATACAGAGGCATTCCCTGGGTTAATGGCCCTTCACAATAACAGAAACAACAAACAACCCTAGAATGATAGTTTCGCCATTTTAAAGTCACACGGTTGGAATAAGAATATGCGCCGTGCTATGTGGCGTGGATGCTTTCGCCCACATAACACAAAAGACTTGCAGGTTCTGGATGCAGAAAAACTGGAACGGGAAAAAAGTCAACACACACAATGTACAATCTACTGCAAGAGAAAGGATGTCAGTTTGGGGTGATTAACTTCGCAAAGGGTCAAAATATTGCAGAGTGCACTTCCGGGCGCAGACTTTAAGGCTGCAAATGTAATTTTGAAAAATCAGTAGCTGCTGTAGGGTGACATTTCAAAAGCCAGATGGGGAGTCAAGGGGAACTTCCAATAGTTAGGGGGAAAGGGCTTCAGTAGTCTGCATGTAGTCTTTGCCCTTCACTAAATACCGTATTTTTTGCTCTATAAGACTCACTTTTTCCCTCCTAAAAAGTAAGAGGAAATGTTGTGTGCGTCTTATGGAGCGAATGCAGGCTGCACAGCTATCCCAGAAGCCAGAACAGCAAGAGGGATTGCTGCTTTCACTGCGCAGCGATCCCTCTTGCTGTTCTGGCTTCTGAGATTCAGAATATTTTTTTTCTTGTTTTCCTCCTCCAAAAATTAGGTGCGTCTTGTGGTCTGGTGCGTCTTATAGAGTGAAAAATACGGTGAATCAAGCAAAATAAGGTGCACACAATAGGTGCAGAAGGCATCTGGCACAATTATGAACACCTTCAGAACATCTGGACAGGGCTGGCACAATCTCTTTGACACTATTTTGCCAAGAGACCTCCTGACTAATTTTCGGTGGTTAACAAGGGCATTCTTTTTATAGGAAGGCCTTTGAATCGGAAGCTTTTGGGCCCAAAAAACTGAGCATTTTGGAAGTTTCTGCTCTTTTTCAGCTTTTGAAAATAAGCTTATTACTCACTTTAAGAAGAAAAGAAAATAAACTTCACAAAGCATCATATAAAAAAGTACAGATCAAAATGCAACCTAACACATCTAAGCCATAGAGTTGGAAGGGATCACAGGTTCATCTAATCCCATCTCCTGCAATGCAGGAATCTTTTGCCCAAAATCGAACCCCACGACCCTGAGATTAAGAGTCTCATGCTTTTCCCTACTGAGCTATCCTAGCTGTACTTTTAAAAAGATAATCTAAAACTTCCAAGTACGTCATAACGCTCCCAAGCAAGCCAGCACGAAAACCCAGCATAAAGTAACCACACTGTAAACTAATCACAGCCCGACTTCTGATACAGTGGTACCTCAGGTTAAGAACTTAATTCATTCCGGAGGTGTGTTCTTAACCTGAAACTGTTCTTAACCTGAAGCACCACTTTAGCTAATGGGGCCTCCTGCTGCTGCCACGCCACCAGAGCACGATTTCTGTTCTCATCCTGAAGCAAAGTCCTTAACCAGAGGTACTATTTCTGGGTTAGCAGAGTCTGTAACCTGAAGCGTATGTAACCTGAAGCGTATGTAACCCGAGGTACCACTGTACTTGGTTTGTGTCCATCACTCAGGGAAGAGGTGAGCCTTTAAGTCCCATTCAAAAACGACAAAAGATGGAGCTTGCCTATGGCCTCTAGGAAAGGAACTGTAGTACAGTGGATGCTCGAGTTGCGAACGTGTTCCTTGTGGGAGGCACATCTGCAACCCGAAGGTTGCGTCAGCGTATGTGCAGGTTGCAATTCGGCACTTCTGTGCATGTGCAAAGTGTGATTTTGTGCTTCTGCGCATGTGCGAGTGCCGAAACCTGGAAGTAACCCATTCCAGTACTTCCGGGTTTCAGCGCGTCCATAACCCGAAAACGCAGAACCTGAAGCATCTGTAACCCAAGGTATGACCGTACAGTTGTACAATACAGTGGTACCTCTACTTACGAACGCGATCTGTTTTGGGGTGCCATTCGCACCCCAAAAAGTCCGTAAGTAGAGTGTCACTACTGCGTGTGGGCGAAAGAATGCTTCTGCACATGTGCAAAGCACGCACATCGCTTCTGCGCGTGTGTGCGCGGCGAACCCGGAAGTAAACACTTTCGGGTTTGCCACGTTCATAACCTGAAAAGCCGCAACGTGAAGCAAACGTAACATGAGGTATGACTGTAGCAGCTTTGGAGCAGAGATCTGACTTGGTGGCAGGCAACTGCCAAGGTTCCGAGAAATGAACTCCACATGTAAAGCGGCCGCTAATAGTTTTGTTTTCAAAGTTATGCATTTCCACATTCAGTTTTGCAAGCTTGCTGCTGCGGCGCATTCCTGCGTGGGTTTCGCTATTTCAAGATACGGGTGAAGGTGGGGAGGGGGGGGAAACACCCACATCTTCCATGCATCTCAGGAAAAGCTAACAGAAACTCAGGCGCAACCTGGAAGGGATCAAAAGCGTTGTCCAAGCCTGTTGCAACGAAGAAGGGGAACCCGGAGCCACTGTCCTGCTGCTCTGTGTCAGTCCGCTCAAAAGCCAAGCTGCTTCTTGTTTAATTGCTCAAGACTCCTTGCTCCCCCTCCCTCCCTCCACTTTAAACTATAATTGTTTCATTACTTGCAGGAAATTAGTTCTTGCTGTTAAAAACACTCTAAACAAAAAAACAAAAACCATTAGTGTACCCCTAGCAATTTTTACCATGACCTCGTGCAAACGCTCAACTGGGAGCGCCAGCAAATTTGTATGTGGGTGCTTTTGCAAACGGAACTGAAAAGCCACAAAATGGGCACGTTCTTATTGTTACACACCACCCCAGTTTCTGAGATTCCAGGGGTTCCAGGAGCTTGCTTACCCAAGGGTTCGTGCTTCCTTTTGGGTACACGAAGGTACAGCGGAGACTGTGGTGTCTTTATGATATATGGTTTCTTTACACATACATACAACCTGAGAGTCCCATGGACTGCAAGAAGATCAAACCTATCCATTCTGAAGGAAATCAGCCCTGAGTGCTCACTGGAAGGACAGATGCTGAAGCTGAGGCTCCAATACTTTGGCCACCTCATGAGAAGAGAAGACTCTCTGGAAAAGACCCTGATGTTGGGAAAGATGGAGGGCACAAGGAGAAGGGGATGACAGAGGACGAGATGGTTGGACAGTGTTCTTGAAGCTACCAGCATGAGTTGGACCAAACTGCGGGAGGCAGTGGAAGACAGAAGTGCCTGGCATGCTCTGGTCCATGGGGTCACGAAGAGTCGGACACGACTAAACGACTAAACAACAACAACCTGAACCTGCAATGGAGGGGGTCACAGCATGAACACCCCAAGAGAGTTTGGGTTTCTCCTATAGCTTCAAATAGAAATCAGGGCTTTCTATTTGTCTTCTCCAGCCTGCAACTTTACCCTCTCCATCACTTTCATCTCTAAACACTGTTGGGACAAGGTGGCCCACCCAGTTGCCCTCTGGCACAGAGCCACTCCCTTTGTTCCCTTAACTGCTCCCCTTTAGCGGGCCATGACTGCATAGTAATTTTGTATAATAATATAGAAGGGTGATATACAAATTAAAAGTGAAATGAAATCAAAAGTGAAACAAGACACATGAAATAAGACCAGGCAAGACTGGCCATTCCAGAAACTGAGGATTTGCTGGATCTAGGAATTAGAAGGCGGCCCAGGCATTCAACCTACCAAAAAAACTTCACAGGAATATTTTTTTCGTTTGAGGAGTGGTATGCAAGCTTCTGAACGACACTGGGTTCTTCTTCAGGAGCGGACTGGCAAACTTTCAGAGATTCACATTCACAGAGGCTGCTCCGGTAAAAAGATATTGCCTTGCAAATCTCATGAGCCTTTTGTTCTCAGCAATAACTTCTGCAGAAAACTGGGGATTAGCATTTGCAATATCCTGTTTGTTGACAACTGTCTCCCTGCCTAGAGAGCGCCAAGCCCCGGGAACGAGACCTGCCACAAGGCACTTAAGATGTAGTGCTCTCCCTCCCCCTATACACGCATGCATGCACAATCTCTCTTTTTATTAAAAAAGAAAGTATCTCTCATCCAGGACCAGACAGTTATATTATATTACTATTATTAATCACCACCCCAATCGGTCTCATCATCGTTGCGATCTAAAACTCTTCACAAAGCTGCTTTCCTCCTAAAGCAACCTTGCAGTTTGCACTGGTTGAAAAGGAGCCGTCCCTCTGTCAACAGAAGAGGTTTGGATGATGCAAAGGGATGTTTTTCCTGGGGAGGAGGGATTTGAGGTTTTGGGGGTGTTTTTTTAAGTGCTAAGCTATTCCAGTAGGATATCTGACTGCCTCTACAAACTGAGGCCATAAGGAAGATGGATTAATACAAAATCTCAGCTGACATTCATGTTCCTGCTTGGCTGCAAGGCTCATTAGGGGCCTGATCCCAGGAGTAAGTGCTCCATCACAGGAGAAGCCATGGTCGGCCATAAATTGATACACAGCAGCAAACCTCCAGCAACTGTCGGCACTGTGCTCTCAGCTAAATTCAACCTCAGGACCTGCGGTTGGGAGGAAGAGCAACAGCCAGCCATATAGAATCATAGAACTGGAAGGGACCATGACGGTCATCTAGTCCAATCCCCTGCAATGCAGGAATATTTTGCCCAACATGGGGCTCAAACTCACGACCTTCAAGTTTGAGAGTCTCATGGTCTACCAACTGAGCTATCCCAGGTCCTGAAACACACTTGTGTGGCAGAAGTAGTACAAATTTGCCAGGACGCATAAATTTCGGCTGCCTTGTAAATAAGCCCATAAAAGCTACTGGCCTGAAAATTTATTTACTCGTCTGGTAAGGGAGAAGCAGGCTGTGTTTCTCTGCTGGTTCTGGAAGGCCAGAAGTCACAGAAACAGAGAAAGCTCCAAGGTTTCAAACTGGGGAAATTTCTTTCTTTCTCTTTCTTTCTTTCAAATGCCTTCTAGCAGACACAATAATCTCCTTCCTCTCTCATGGAGGCCAAGAAGACTGGAGAAGGAGCAATGGCGTCATCCATTCAGCACCCTGCTCACTTGCCTGAAAATAATTCATGGTTGACCCATAGGTGAATTACAGGCTCTGCGTTGGGTTCCAAGTAGCTCATTCCTGCCAGCCTGCCTTCTTGGGAGAACACACAATTCTGTTGTTACTCTGTTTCTTGTGTCATTGTGCTGGGCACATACATAGGCCAAAGAAACACTGGAACTCTGCGGCGGAGGTTACCTACAATGAGAGTCCTTGCTCAGTTCACAAGAAGAGGGGGCCTCCAGGAGCAGAAATTTGGGAAACTCTTTGCTAATATTTGTTACTAATCCATTCCAAGCAATCTTCATTTCAGCAGTGCAAATTTAGGGTGGGGTGGAGGAGTGTTGCATCCTTGTCGCTCCTGTTAAACATTTGGAAGTCCTATCATAGAATTGTAGAGTTGGTAGGGACCTCAGGGGTTATCTAGACCAACCCACTGCAATCTCAGCTAAAGCATCCATGACTGGTGGCCATCCAACCTCTGCTTAGAAACCTCCAATGAAAGAGAGTCTACAAACTCTCTGTGTTGATCTAGAAGCAGATCCAGATCACAGCTGGATAATAATAATAATATTTATACCCTGCCCTCCCCAGCCAAGACTGGGCTCAGGGTGGCTAACACCAGGTATAAAAACAACTGATTAAAATACTGTACAACTTAAAAACAAGATTAAAATACAACGGCTTCAAGGACAATGAATGGTAGTGGCTTTCCCCAGGGTTTTAGAATAGGCATCTTTCTCAACTTTACCAGAAGATCCCAAGAACTATAAAGCCATTTGCTCTGTCACTGAGCTATGCCCACTGACGGCCAGTCCATTGGGGTGAATGGGGTACCGCCCCACCAATAACAGCCTGCCTCTGGCCAATCCCCATCAGCCTGCCTTCTTGTTTGCAACCAATCAGGGGGAGGCTCTGCCTGTCATTGGCTGTGTCTCCACATCCCCTTGGACCTTGGTCACCAGCCACCAATTGTTATGCTAATTCATCTAAGCATCAAAAACATTTAAGGAGGGCCTTTGTTAGCAAGGCTGGTTTTCTCTTCAACAGCGACATTCCCCAAAAAGGGCTTTCCGATTTGTAAATAATACACAAAGCGAGACCACACTGTCAGAAGGGACACAATGGCTTAATTCCCCCATAGGTTACGCAGAACCTGTTCATGCAGAGACCTGGAAGGTTTGCTACGCATAAGAGGCAAGCGCCGTAGAGAGCCCACAATTATTGTTGCTGTTTTTAAAAGGAAGAAAAAGAGAGAGAGTTATTCAGATATTAATTACCCCATTCATTGCAGCTGTTTACTCAGTCAAGGCAGCAGTTAATCCAGGCCATTATTTTTTAATAAAGCTTCACTTTCTCACCCAGCGCATCAGTTTGTTCGGCTTTTAACGAGAGAGAAGTGGCAGCAACATTGCATCATTATTTAAAAGCCCCCGCAAGGTCGCACACTGACAAAGTACCGTGGTGTTGATTCATAGGGGAGTCTTAGTGAAAGAACCACACGGGGCTATGTGCAAAGGTCCAGTCCTATGTGCCTCATTTAAGGTCCCAGCTTACACACATCTCCATAAAAAAAGAAAATGCAATACCCCCCCAACAAAAAAGGACAAAATATTATATTTGCATAAAAAAGCAGGTGCTAATTTCTATGTATAGATCAATGTGGAAGGTATGAGGCCTGGGGGGCAAATCTGGTCCTCTGTTCAATTGCAGCTTAGTCATGGAAGTCACTGCATGAGAAGGCTTGTGGATTCCCCTTCCATTCCAAAACAGAAACCCAATACAGAATAGGGCTCTGTAACTAGTGGTGTTAAATTCTCGAGAATAATATTTTGGAGAATATTCTCGATTAATGAGAAAATTAGAGAATTTTCATTTAAAATAGGAGAATATTCATTTTAATGCATTGAAAATGATATAATTAGTTAATATACATGTTTATTCATGGGTAAACATGTTCAGATGGCAAACAAAAACTGCACAGATACTTTTATTCAACGGGGCAATGCAGTGAATTCACATTCTTTGATTTTTTTGCACCAAACTTGAAATTGAAAATTCAATGTGAATGACTCACGTTAATCACTAAGCCTGCCACTAACCGTATATTTACCATCAAATTTGAATTCTAATTATGTTGTGTATGTATGAAATGCAGAAACCAGTTACTGGCACTAAATAAAAATACAGAAACGTCAACTGTTTAAATCAAGGCCACCTCGCATGCTGTTACACATAATTGTATAGGCCTAGGTAGTTTAAGTGCATAAAGCATTAAAGCTACTTTCTGTAAAAAATAAATAAATCACACTGTATGGCCAAAGGCATAGACTTGCTAAGAGTAAGGTCACACCAAAATAGGAAAAAAGGGCTATTACATATAGTTGAAATACATACGAATTCAAATGTTCATCAAATTAAATAAACAGCATTTTTAAAACTAAAAAAAAAAAGTTTTCTGTAGATGACATTTCAGAACTGCCAATGGTGAATGACAAAATGCCCATTAATGTAACTGGATCAAAAAAAACACCCCAAAAACACATTATTCATTACTTACACTGACAATATCACAGCTTGACTTATTATTTACTAGGTTTTTTAAAATGTGGGTGATAAAACTGGTCCTTACACTAGAATTTACAGTTTTTGGAGAATATTCTCCGGAGAATATTCTCACCTCATATCACTATCTGTAACCAATATTGCCTCTCAGACATAAGCATCCGTAGGTGTGTGTACACTTTGCTTACAACCAGGACACTTAGCACACCCTAGGTGTTAAGTGAATGCAATGCAGGAACTGGCCCTTGTGATCAGCACCACATATTTAGGAGTCTGGTGTTTTCTTCCGCCCCGCCTCACAGCCTCACAGACCCCCTTCTTTATGCAACATTTAAATCTGTCACGCTCCTATAACTGAACCTGTATTACAGAAGCTGACTGAATTTCACATCCCCGCACAAAACGTTTCCGTACATAAATTACAGCAACTTTGCCCTGCACTTTCTCCCCTTCCCTTCCCCCTTCTCAATGTGATTTACTGTGATCTCGTAATAGAAAAGCTTTATTTCCCTGACACCCGAGCGGTAAAGGGACCGATAATTTCATCCCTGGGAACATTCCCTCCTCTCGCCTACCAAAGGTGTTTTAAAAATCCAGAGTGCATTTGCAGGTCACAGTCATTCTGATACCAGTCTCCGGAGTCTAGGAAAGCTTCTGCAAACTCTCTTTCGCACATGCGAAAACACACACTCATTAGCCAGGGATCCCTGGTCTAAGGCAAAACCTCCAATTAACAGATGAACAGAGAAAGGATACCTGCCCTTCTCCTGCAATTTTCTTTTCCTAACGAGAGTTCGTATTGCTGGTTTCATGCCAGTCGACATCGTTCTCTTCCTTTCCCCACTTGAACCCGAAATGTAAAGGAAAATTGCCACAAACGAAGCGCTAACAGAAAAACATCCACATTGATTTCTCATTGCCCTTCCACAACGCTTGCTTGATGATAATTTAGTCAAGTGAAGCTGCTTTAACTGGGTCTAGGTGTCAGAAACCAAGAAACCCTAAAGCACAGTCCGACACTTGGGTCCACTGGCATTTTGGGATGGGGTGAACTTGGTGCGTACATCAACATCCTAATGACCTGCACTTTTCTAACTCCCTGGCTTCAAGGAACCCTTTCCACAGTCAACCGGACAACCAAGGGACCCCACAGTCAACCCGGCAACCAATTCATACCTTTACCGACTGAACGTGTGGAAGAGGAGCAGGATCACAGCCACTGACACACACATTCAGAAAAAAGACAGGCCTGCCTGGCTGAGCTATGGCTTCATTCGAGTTCTCGGTCACACCTGTAGGTGCGGAGAGCTCAAAGCCTTCTCTGCATCCAGCACAGAAATGCAGTGGACTGCTGGAGAAGGAATGGAGCATGCTGTCCCCAGTCTCCAGCCAGCTAGTAAAATGTTTTGCAGGAGAATCAGCTCTGTAGGCTCATTTACAAGATTGACAGAAGCTGTTCTCACATTGCAATGAATGCAGAGGGCAGGAGCAGCTGGTGCAACCCAGATCCCATGCCTAACAAGGAATGAAGATGGGGTCTAAGGAAGGGCTGAGGAACCGAGGGCCACATTCTGTCATAGGCAGTATCCCAAGGGGCCACATTCCAGTGGTGGGTGGGACGAGATAGCGAAAGCAGATCAGCATATGGGACTCTTGCCTTTGTAAGGCAGACACAAACATCACGAGATTTTGTACACGCACTTGAGGGCCACACTGAGCCCTTGCTCCCCCACCTAAGAGGAAAGTTATAGGTCTGCTGCAAAACCCCATTAGGTTTTACCGTTGGCACACATGAAGCTATTTGACCTAGCTACATCCTCTAGCCATTACTGGTTGCCTCCTTCAATAACTTCTGTTAAGCCTACATCTTGAAGGCACCAGGATGTTGAAAGCTGATGTATATCCTTACAACGACTTTATACGTAAGTGAGATATCCAAGAGTTGCAGAACGCTGTTCTACTTGGAAGTATCATGAAAGGTTCCGATTTTAAAAAGTTTCCTTCTGGAACCTCCGCTCGCAATTTCTTTAGTGTGCAATTGTTTTAATTTTCCTGAATGCAAAGGTCCTCTTAAAGCCCAAAGAAAAGAAAAGTGCTAGAACGCCATCC